AAATTTAACCCTGCTCCACCAGTTTTTGAACCTGCCCGAGTCCAGCCAAATCCTGCCCCTGCAGGTCTCACAACTCCTACACCTTCTAAATTTAATACTACTCCACCAGTTTTTGAACCTGCTCGAGTCCAGCCAAATCCTGCCCCTGCAGGTGTCACAACTCCTACACCTTCTAAAGTTAACCCTGCTCCACCAGTTTCTAAACCTGTCCCAGTCGATTTAAAGTCGGTCCCAGTACAGGCAAAACCTTTAACTTCTTTAGCTACCACAGCTACTCCAGCACAACCAGCCATGATAAAGATTGTGTCTGACGTGGCAGCTCCTGGTGTCCCAGAGGGTGAGCAGACTCGTACGGTGTTTGTCAAACCTCCACCTTTCATGAATAAGTGTGATGGAGCTCAGAAATCGGACAAATTTAGGAGCAACCTGGCTGCAGCCAGAGCCCAAGATTTATTTGGCATCTTCTACAGCAGCATCAGCCAAACGGGCCCCTCCTCCTTCAGCAAACCAGCATCAGATACTAGAGCTGAAGGCAGTAGTGGCAGTAAAAGTCCATTTCCAGTTCCAAAAGCCCTAACACCCCAACCACAGTCCAAACCACACCCAGAATTACAGCCCCGACCTGAGTCTCAGCCACAGTCCCAACCACAGCCCAAACTGCACCCTGAACCTGGGTCCCAGCCACAGTCCCAACCACAGCCCAAACTGCACCCTGAACCTGGGTCCCAGCCACAGTCCAAACCACAGACACAGCAACACCTTGGACTCCAGCCTGAACCACAGCCCAAGGCACAAGGTCTTACTCAGTTCCCGCTTCCAAATGAACTCCAAAGATCTCCACAACGAAATCCAAATGAGCAGCCACAAAACCCACTGACCCCAACAAACTCAGGCATTCAAATTATGTCTGTCTGGTCCCTGCAGTCTGCCAAAGACTCCGCATCTGAGTTGGCTCTACCTAATGAAAGAAACACGCAAATGGCTCAACCAAGAGTGTCTCCCCCGCTTCAGTGTGAGGTTCAGAGTGCACCTGAAGACCAGTCCGTGACAGCCAAATTGGATCCCCAAATCTTCCCAGAGAGTCAGTCTTCCAGACTGGAGTCCCAGCTCAAACCATGTCCTGAAAGTCAAATAGAGCCCCAACAGTCAGAATTAAGCAAGGTCAACAAATTCCATCCAGAGACTCATTCTGACACAGAACCTGAACCCAAACCAAAAACGGGTCCTAAAACCAGGGGTAAGAAAACCCCGCCTGCTCCTCGGCCAACCCGGCAAACCCGATCCCAAACAAGATACCAAACCCGACAGCAGCTGAACCAGAACCAGCCTGAACCAGAACCCGAGTCAGCTTCAGGTGACACTGATGCTGCAACTACAGACCCAAAGAACTTGGACATGGTAGATCCTGGCTCTGTGTCGCAGCCAGAGGCTGAGGCGTCCAGTGAGGCGAACCCTCAGATTATGAAGATAACTGCAGAAACACTGGGCCTGCCCTCTGACATGACCTCACTGGACTTTGAATATGATTTTAACTTTGAGTAGGAGGTGACTGGGCTTTGTGACATGGGGGCGGGGTTTATTCTAACCGCTCGGCTATCCAGAAAGGCTGAAGCCACAATGTGTCACATAGTTGAGGGCATGTGAAAGTGACGAGATAGACACTCTTGCTGAGGGACTTCACCTGTCTAAAGGACCAGATTTATTTAGTGTTTAATTGAATTCCTTTCTTCACTGTTTTCTCCAGAATTTGTTTTTAGGTCTGATTGATCTCATAGAAACGTGTCCAGGACATTTGTCCTCACCCAGCAGTCTCCTAGTTTTGCAGCTTTTGCTTACACTTCATAGGTTTCCAATAGACTAAAAGAAAAATTTAAATACTCAAATAAACCTGTAAACTGCTTGATTTATGCCATTTTCTGTTTAAATAACACAATAAACCTCCTCTCTTTGATCATATTTGGCAGCTGGGACCGCTGGTGTGTTGCGTTTTGGAGTTGCATTAAATGAATAATGATTCCACCTAACAGGACTAGTGAGCTCATGTAGATGGCTGCCATCCGATCTACTCAACGAGAAACCTTATAAAATCAGAGCGCTCACCCGGTCTGGTTGTGATTTGTTAGTTTTTAGTTACCGTGTACCTGTTGCTACCTGGCTCTAAATAATAAAAACACAATTGCAGACTTTCAGCCTGACCCAGTCTTTGAAATACATAAACCAGGCTCAGTCAAGCACAGTCTTTTATTGTAATGACACAACTTGTCCTTTGAGGCAGCAGAGTGTCTGTCTGAGGTGCTCTCTGTTGAAAGTGGAGATGCAGCTGACAATGATGAATATTTGGATGAGTCTGCTAAGACTCCTGTGAATTTCCGTACTCTGAGGTGAACCTGGAACACTTTGTAATCCTTGAACCCTTTCACAGTTCATCTGGACCGACTGTTTGGTTTCACCTCATTTCTGCTTCTTGTCACAGGAAATGTTGGCCTAGAACCTTTCGGGAAATAAAAGATTCCTGAAGTCAAAAAAAGCCCAACAAAGTTCAGACAGTTCATCCCAGGGACATTTCTTAAATTTTCAAGCCATCAGTGTATTTATTTTATTTTTTTTATAGGTGACCTTTCTGTTGTTGATCTCAGACTTGCTGGATGTCTTCCCCTGTGTAACGGGTCTGAACTGAATCATCTGTCTCAGAATAGATAAATCTGTGGCTGGGAAATGCTAGAAAAGAACCTGTGACCTGGACCTCAAATTTCCTGAACCTACAGAGAATATGGCATCTCAGAACACGAGGTGAGGCTTAATTTAGCAACCAGATCGTTAAAAGTTTCTTAGTGTCTGGGAAATATGTCAATGTGAAGGTGAAGATCTGAGTCATGGTCCTTTCACTGGTTCTCAATGTTTGATCCAGCTAACCCAGATTAACTCACTGTAATGTACTAAATTTGTGGTTAACCTGTTTAAGAACTTGCAGATGAGAGGCTGTAATCCCATTTAGGGTCTCAAACAAATGGTTGTAAAGCAGAGCGTAAATTACTAAAAGGAAATGTTCCCTCATCACCTGTTGAACGGCCTCTTACAGATGAAACTGATGGTTGGAAGACTGCTCCTTCAAAGAGCACAGTGTAGTTTTGGGCGGTTCACGGTTAAGGCCTCGTTTCATCCTGTTTCGACCTCGGAAAGCTTGTTCTGATGCTCCTGAATGAAACAGTTACTGGAACTGCATCGGATGTTCTTCGTTCATTGTGTCTGAAACTGCTCGTTCTGTAATGTGTTAAAGTTTTAATAAAAGGAGAAACTCCAGCATGTCTCTGTGTGCTCATTACAAGGGAAAGAAACTTTATTCAATCAAAATCGGGACAAAATCGGAACACACGGGGGACGCTTGGCTCAGGTTTAAGTACTTCTACAGATAAAAGGCAAAAATCTGATTTATTATTAAAATATTAATAGTTATATATTATTAATAAAGTTCTGAGAGCCTAATGTCTGGATGATTGTAGAGTATAAAGCAGAAGGAAATTCTGACCCAGATTAGTTTGAGATATTCTCTCTTATTTACTTTGTATTTGAAGGTTTGATGAATAATCTGCAGTGATTAAGAAACCTTCCAGAGATTCTTGCAGCCAGAGTTGGGTCGACTCTAGAAGTGTCAAATCTGAGAACCGTGCAGTGGCGTCCATGCAGAGGTAATCGGGGACAAGTCCAAATACTCAAGCCGATCATACGATCATTAAACTGCAGTTTGTGACCCAACGGGGCTCACCTGTCTCAGGTAAAGTCTCTGATTGAGCCTGTCTCCATGTTGGGGGGCATCTACAGTGTTGGGGAGTAATGGAATACTAAATATGAGTAACTGTATTCTGTTACGTCTGTGAAGGTTCTCAGTCATCCAGGTCATCGTAGTCAAAGGAGCTTGCAAAGAAAAGCGTCTGGACTTCTTTAAGTTGCTTGAAGACTTCACAAGCGCATGGCACAACACAGAAGAGCCACCTCCACAGGACAAGACTCAGCAGTCCATCTGCATCTTAAGGTCAAAGGTCACTCTTTCGAGGATGCCAATGTTCATATTTTGGACAGAGAGGACAGATGGTTTGAAAGAGGAGTGAAAGAAGCATCTATGTCCA